AAACCCACCCCCCCCCCACCCCCCCCCCACCCCCCCCCCACCCCGCCCAACCCCCCCAAACCCAAAACAAAACACCCCCCCCCACCCCCCAAACCCCCCCCCCCCCCCCCCCCCCCCCCAAAACACGGTTAGGTATATAAGCTTCGGACGTCGGACAGGGAATAACAAAAAGGGAGTATAGCTTAGAGCAAGAAAACGAAGAAAAAAAAGACAAAGAAAAAAAGAAGAACCGTCGAGACTCCGCGACGTTGTCGGGGGTTCGTGTGAGGGTCTCGTCAAAGTCATACGCCATCTGTCTTGGGCAGCCTGCCGTTTTCCTGACCAACCAACATACATATTTGCCGGCGCTGTTACATACGATGGTAGATCATAGGGAGTAACAGATGGTTTTGGGCTTGCATGGACAATTTGCCGTGGCCCCCCCTTCCCCCCGAGATCATGGACAACATCATGCGGTCTAACACGCGGAGGGGAAACAGCCGCAGAGCCGCCGCCCCCCCGTTCTCATGGGTGTTGCCATCGTCTGAACGAGTCGGACAGTTAGGGGGTTCCGGGGGATGGAAAGACAAAAAGGATCAATATCACCGCCAGTTCCCCTGACTAAGGGACAGCAGGCCCGCAACGGCGTCCACGTCGCCCTTCTTGCTGGGGCTGACCTCGCCGCGCATGAAGCGCTCGACCTCGTCGTCGGGCACTCCGGGGGTCGGGCTGCTCCTGCCCCCGGAGTCCTCGAAGATCTCGAGCGGGGAGTGCCGCCCCTTCCCGGCCCGCAGGCTCGGGGTGGGGGCCGTGTTTGCTCGGTTCGCGGAAAGGAGGGGCGGGCCGCGGTGCTCCTGCAGTGGACGGCCCAAGGCCCGGCGGGAATTCGCCTGCTGAGTGGCGGTCGTGCCGGACGGTAGAGGTTGCCTGCCGCCTCCTGGTACTTGGGGCTGAGACCGACGCTGCAAACGGTGTTGCGGGTTACCCTCCTCATCAGGACTCCAATTCTCCTTGTCGGAGTCGCTGCCAGCTGGAGATCTAAGCACGACAACGTTGTCCTTGCCACCTACGCCGCCAGACTCCTCCTTAATTCGAGGTGCGGGGATGTTCTTCTCCCCGGCAAAGCTCGTTTGCAATTTTGCGACGCTGCTCGACGCTCGGCTGAGTCTCCGCTTCTTGGCCATCCCCGGTCTTGCCAATGCTTTGCCCAACGGCGCATTCCGCTTCGAGCTGCTACTAGGCTGCAATGGACCCCCGGTGCTACCGGTAGAGCTCGTTGATCTCAGCAAGCTTATTACCGCGATCGCGGACCCGCTACTCTCGTGCTTTGCCTGCGCCGTCAGCAGGTCCTCCTGGTTGTCGGCGTCACAGCAGAACTCCCACGCGTGGACGTCGCGAGATCGTCCCCTCGTCAGTCGTGGAGGCAGAGCACGCGGCCCAGAGGTTGGAAGCGAGCCGGTGAGGGTAGATATAGGTGGTAGAGTGACTACAGGCTGAACGCTATGACTCCGCTGAAGACTAGGTCGACGAATTGGGGCGATTGACGACATACTCTCTCCCGTTGGCCGAGGCAGTGGCAGATGTGGTGGGGACGGGACTGTTGAAATAACCTCGGCCTTGCCCTCTAAGGACAGAGAAATACGGGCGTTGGATGACTGAGAGTTGGGCAGGGGAGGGAGGGAGCAAGATGACCGGGCAGATGAACATGTCGAAGGACGGAAAGGCTCAAGTCTTGAGAGGATGTTAGGTGGGATTCATGGTCTGCTGGGACATGGATTCTTACCTGACGGAATCATCACCTGCGCGATGCCCCAGTGTCGATGGGGTTGAAAATGAGCTGCCGGGATTCCAGCGATTGGACAAGTACCCCACCGAGCTCGCAAAGGATCGAGATAGGTGCAAGGAGTCGTCGCTTGATTCCACTCCTAGGGGCGATGGTTCGTTTGGCTGACTATTCTCTGGCATAGTCTGCCCCGTCTCGCCAGCATTCTTTTCTGCTTCGTCGGAGGAGCTTGCATGACCAGCATCGGACGCTGCTGGCGATGTTGATTCGCGACCTGTCAACGAGAGTCTATGGCCCGGAGACGAGTTCGAAGCATCGAGAGCTTCAGACGAATTGTATGGCATGGGGTCGGAGGACAGGATCTGCATGCCCCCATATCTGAGGGCCGCGATTTCTTGTGGCGACAGCGGGCGTGACTTCCTACGATCGTTCTGTCGGCGGTTTTGGAACCATATCTGCCGAGCATTAGCGATGAAGAACGGTTTTTGTTGCTGCGTCTGGGTCACAACTAACCTGGACCTCCTTCTCATTCAACGAAACGCGTGTCACGAGCTCAAGACGCGCCGTCTTGTCGGGCTTGGGGTTAGCATTGTAAGCTGCCTCGAGTACTGCCTTGTCCTTTGCACTACATGTGCATATGTTAGCAAATACGTGCCATTTGGGGAGCCCAGTGGCCTGTATCGAGGCGGTTTCCGGTTCCAATGGGGGGGGAAACATACGCGGTTCTTTTCCTCTTTCCTTTCGGATGTCGTTCGGACGCCAGACCCTGGCTTCCCGACTCTGGCAATGAAGGCTGGGAAGACTGCAGCAAAGACTCGTGAGAGTCGTCCGTACCGGTCGTCGGGCTCTGCCGTTCAGGAACCGCGTTGTTGTGAGGGTCGGGAGAGGATGGCGAGGGGGAAGAGGAGGCGTGTCCGTCCATGGCGAAGTGGGATCGAGGATCAACAGCTCAAGCACACATGCATAGTATACGCGTGGTGGTCGAGGGGGAGTGAGGGTGTCTAGTAAGGAACAGCAGAGGAACAAGACATTAAGCGGTGACGCGGGCACCACGGGGGTATAAAGCTACTGAGGGGAATCTGCAAGGCGAGGTCGCTTTCTATGGCGGGACGTGTAATGGGGCTACACTAATACAGAGAGGAGCGTGGCATGGCACGTTCCCACATCACCGCCGCGTCGAGGGGCATTGGCCAATCACATGGCGTGCCTGGACGACCTCTTGCCGCATTTGGGAGGAACAACAGCATAACCCTAACCCGGGCAGCTGGGATAAATGACCTCGGGCAATTCTACGAAGCGCACTGTACATCCATACCCTGTCCAACATTAAACGCGTTCGCAACGACGCGCTCTTGACGTTCATGACTTAATCTCGGTCCTTGAGCCGGCAATCACAGTATCAATGCCGAAAGGCAGTTGAAGTCCTTTCAACACAGGTCATCTCTATTGATTTACTCCGTCTAGCATAGTACTCTTCATATGTGCTATGGTAGGTAGAGAGCATGCCATCCAGTTCTCTCGAATCAACCAGGATAGACCTAATTCGCAACACGATGTGTGCAATGCCATGCACGTGGGGGTATCCATCAGTGTACTGTACATAGTACGTACAAAATCATAATCCAACCACCTAACCAAGTACAGAGGCCACGCCTAAAACACCCATCCACATTCTTCGTTCAGTCAAGTCTCTTGCAAGTCATCTTGGTACAGCGACTTCAACCCCGTATTCAGCGCTCTGATCCTCTCCCTGTTGACCTTGCGCTCGTTCTCCAGCGCCGCCACTCGCGCCTGCAGTTCGGCAATCCTGCCGTCCTTGGCCTTGATCGTCGTCCGCGCCATCTCCCTGCCCCGCTCGACACCCCGCATCCGCAGCGCATACGTGTTCAGGGACTCCCGGACGCCCTGTCTGACCGACTCAGTCATAGGTGTCTCTCTGAGTATGTTTATCACCTCCTCCGTGATATCGTAGTCGTCGCCGTGCCCGCGAGAACTGTCTTGCTGGCTGATACGCGTCGGCGTCGGACTCGCGGCTGCTGTCCTCTGCCTCTTGGCTTCAGAGACGATGAGGAGACTGTTCCTCGTCAGGGGAGTCGGCAAGCCGCCAAGCATGTCATGTGTCCGTGGTGCAGAAGGGGTGGTAAATGACGCTCGCCCGGCCTGTGATTCCACTGCCGGGGCCTGGCTGTCCTTCTGGCTCTCGGCGCTCTCATCTGCCAGCCGCAGCATCAACCTCTCCTCGTCCGAGCTGAAGTCCCCGCCGAAGTCCGTATCATTATCCTCGCCGAACGCACTTAGCTTCCTCTTGGCCGAGGGGATAGCCGCAGCGATATGTTCCGGCGCAGCCTGCCGCAGCCAGGTGCTGTTGTCCTGCGAATCCAACGTGCCCGCCCTTCCCGCCCTTCCCTGTTGTGAGACTTGGTCGGCCAGGCTTGCCATGTCCAGCTCGTCATCCGTCGATAACTCGGTCGAAAGGCTTGGTCCACGCCCGCGCCCTTGCGCAGTCCCGTTGAACAAGAGCCGTCGCACCGGCGCCGGGCCGGGCGTTTCTGTAGGCGGTGCCCTCGAAGCTGTAGAAGGTTCAGGCCCTGGAGTCCTCAGCAATTCCCCCTTTTCCCGCACCTGGGCGGAGTCCTCGAATATGAAGAAACCGCATTGGTCCTTCCGTTGTTTCTGGCAGGTATAGAACCACCTGTGTTTGTTCTTGCCGTTCTTCTTGACCTGGAGACGGGGGGCCGGGAGCCGCGGATCACAATTGCCTGTTCCGATCGACGGTTAGCCACGTCCCTGTTTCGCACTGTCGGAGGGTTACGTACAGAACCATTGTCCGTCCTCAAAAAAGCCGTCTAGCCTGACTTTACTTGACGTCGGCGTCCTCGAGTTGTTCCCCCGGTATGATTTGCGTGGAGTGGTGAACATGATTTGCCTTCCAGCTTGTGCTGGCTAGGTCGCAGTAATCTGGGCATTCAGAGCATCGTGGATGGCCCAGGATTCATTCATGATATATTCCGCCGCAGTTGGCGACATAAAACGATGTATGACATACGGCTGGGAATTAATTGCATGTGTTGTTCAGCGCCACAGCAACCCCGCGGTAGCACATGATACGAATATGCAACTAATGATTATACGGAATTATCGCTAAACTCAATCAACCACCAAAGTATCTCAGATGGAAATCACTATTTTCGGCATGTCCTTGCTACGGTATTCCATACCTGAGAACCGAAGGACTTGGTTTGTAACCACTCTTTCCAGCACTGATCCTCTGCCATCAACCATCTTCGGTGGTATGTGATCATCCTTTTAGTCTCATTGCTATGCAGGTGCTGTATACATGGGAAGTCAGATAGATGCCCACGCAATCCCGTACAGCATACAACATTCCCTTTGCTGCAGCAGAAGGCCCTTTGGAAGGTTGGCGACTCCTTCTCTCGGGTCATTCGTTGTCCCTTGTCCCTTGGGTGTGATACTTAGGCAGGCGTGTGATGGCGTCTACAGGCCTCATAGGACAGAGACAAGGCACGATATCAAAACAAGTGGTGAAAAAAGAACTGATCTGTTCCTATCTTTCATAGCTATCAGGTTAAACATTGGAAGCAAAAGGGGTATAAAGAACCAATCATAAGAAGGGAAATAAACAGACATAAGGGTCTGTCTGGGGCTAGGGAAACAGGCGCAAATCAGATATCATAATAGTAATCGTCATCCAAACCCTCCCGGCTCGGAACCGCTCCCGCACCGGGAGCCGGCCCGGAATAGGCTGCCTCCAATCTGACGTTGAGGAGCCGGATCTTCAGCCCGTACTCGCTCACCAGCGTGACCAGCTTGTTCGTCTCCGCCGTGATGGGCGCCTGGTTCAGGAGCATGAGCAGGCCGTCGAGCCACTCGGATGCCAGGCTGTGATTCAGGGGGAATAGGGTCAGGATCGCCCGCTCCTTTCCATCGCCGCCCTTCTGGGCGTCCTCGGGGCTCGAATAGCTGTAGATGGTGATCTTGGTCGTCGGCTTCGTCATCGCCTGCAGGCCCGCCGGCGTCTTCAGGGTCGATTCACTAGATAGACTCTGGGCGTCGTCGTTGGGCGCGGAAACGTTGGAGACCACCGAGCTTATGGTGCTCAGGTCGACCTTTTCAGTCAGGCCATCGAGACCAGGGTCATGCTGCAGGTGCTCGGAAAAGTCGGCGTAATGCAGATAGCGCCGGTTGTGGGAGAGCTTAGCAAACCTATACGGTTGGTATAGACGCCGCTTTTGCTGGCTGCCATGACGGGAATGTTGGCGCGGCAGGGGCTTGGAGAACCATGTGCCTTGGAGCAGGCACCGGATCCTCTGCTCTTTGACGAACTGCAGTGCCTCGTGCCTAAGTTCCTCCCGGACCTGATAGAGGTGTTGGCCCCACTGGTCATCGAACGAGAGTTCCAGTAGCTCCATCTGTAGTTCCCGGAGCCTCGGGCAATCGTACTCCTGCAGGTCCTCCTCGACCTCCAGAACATCTTTGGTTCTGCTGGCCTGCCCGACAACCTGCTCGATGAGTATTCTGACCAGCTCCGCCACCTTGTCGAAGTCATCACGTTCGGCTCCGGTGGCTTTCCACATCCGAAAGAAGGCGTGTAATCCGGCGGTGTGGAGTCTGGACCACTGGAACAAAAGGGGCCTAAATAGCTTATCGTTGGTCTTGGTGCCATCCAAGGTCTGGTAGCCCCTGATATCCTCCATATCGGACTTGTCCACCTCAAAGTGATCGTAGAGCATCATGGTGACCGCCAAGCTGGCCCGTGCAACAGGGCAACGTTCGCTCAATGGTTTGCTCGACTGCTCGAGCAGCATCTTCTGGAATCCGTCTTCGTTCTTCCTCACGTAGTCGGTAAGATCCATCATGCCCAAGAAGCCTGCTGTGTCGAACTCCTGGGCGGGCGACTCGGTTTCGAAGCCCAATCTCCTCCACTTCTCAGGGTTATGCCTCCTGCTTCCCTTCTTGTTCGTCTCGGCCTCTTCAGCCGTCCTCGCAGTTCCGTTTGGCAGGTACCTATCCGGTGCGCTGGCCAGGTGGAGGCCTTTCAGTGCCCTTCGGTGCTCTGGTCTCTCCAAGTCGACCCGAACTTCCCTCCACTTGCGCAGCAGCACCTTTGTCAATGACTGAAACTCGAGCAAGGGATAGGCAAGATCTTGAAGTGCAGAGCTCTGCATGAGGTTGTAAACCGCTTTGATGAGTCCTAGGTCCTGCAGCCTCTTAATGAACTTTGACCATTCCTCTCCCACACCGGTTCCCTTTGTGACTACCACAGCTGAGACCCCATCATTCGACACCGCGTCCCGTATCAAGGCATTGATGAGCATGAGAGCGTTGGCACACAAGGCATGGTCGGCGGATTGCAACTGTTGGATAACAAGCTCAAAGAACTGCGGGTAGACAGCCACGGCTGGTTTTAACGCCCGGAAGCCAAAAAAGCCCGGTGTTTTGACGGTCCCTCGTCCAGCAGACTGTGAGTGGCTGACCAATGCAACCAGAATGGACATGGCGCCCCGCAGAATGTTGACGAGAGGGTTCATGACGATAAGTTCGACGATCCGCTCCACCAGGTCCCCAGCCGTGGAGCCTTCGAATATGTCCCAGCCCATGTCCACCTCTAGCAATCGGGTGAGGCTTTGCAGCGCATAGGCTAAGGTGTTGCCCCCGGTGCTCATGATCAATCGCCGCAGGATAACCAGGCCGCCCGAGGATATAAAGACGTCTGCAAAGGCCGGGTCGTTGATGGATGACTGCAGCTTGAAGACTGCCATTTTGCGTACGGCATCCTCATCGCTGGCAAGCCGCGACAGGAGTGCGGGGATATCTGCTTGATCCATGGCCGGCAAGTGTGAGGTTTTGGAGGGAGGGGGGGTGTTTGGTTGAGGTGTGATAAGGGTGATCGCAATGGTGATAGAGCAGGTCGGTCGCCGAGTTCAGAGTTCAATTGCGACGCAAGGTGGTGGTCGAGTCTCGGGAGAGATCACAGAGAGCGCCAATCCAAGGGTCTAGCCCTGCGTGGATGAAACTAAAGTTTGTCTGGGAGAGAGAGACATTCCATCGCGAACGATCTCAACTGGTGCCTTACTGGAAATTTCCTGGTCTGGTGGACAAGGGGATTGCGCACGGATGAGGATTGACAACCCTATTAGGTGCATACGAGGTGCATAGCATCACCTCACTTTCCCCCCTTTCTTGGCGACAGGCATGCTTCACCAGAGAGTCACTACTGCAGGTTGTACATTAGGTAATTTCTAGCCTGTCGACTCACCTCTTCCCAGTGCCGTACGGACAGTTTAGGAGTGGGAGCCAAGTTAAGCTCCAGGTAATTTGCTGATTCACTACGATTCAAAACAAAAGGGCTAGGATGGCAAGCCAGTCAGAGTCTTCTGTGTTGGACTTTATAGCTGAGATGGCAGAGTGTAAGCAGTGGGCCAGATCGAACGTCGGCACAAACAGCTTGCTGCCTTCTATTGGAAGCTAGCCATCGCCGGTATGAATATCTCCATCGAGGGCCACAATCTATGTATGGCAACCAGAAACATACCCCAGGCCCATACCTGTGCCACAAGCCTCATTATTTCTCCTGAACCGTTTTCTTGACGCCCTCAACAAACGCCTCCACCGCTTCGCCGCCACCGAGGGGGACGCTTCCGCCCCTGACCAAACCCCCGTTCTCGACCTTGATGCCGAGAGCCTCGGCTATGGTAGGAAGTCCGCCATCCCGCAGCGCAACCGTCAGGCTCGCCAGGCTCTGGGAGAACTGCGGACTCCGCAGCACCTTCTTCAGCAAACTGCGCTTCTGGCCCGGGCTCATGGCTTCCCGCGCCGCCGTCACCGACTCCGCCGACGGATCGGCCGAAACCGGGTCACCGTCGCTTCCCTGCTGGGAGAGGACGAGGACGGTGGGGGGCAGGAAGCCCAGGAGGTTGTCGACGTAATCATCCGACGCCGCATCGATCATCGGAATGGTTGTCGACGGCTCGAGGAGGTCGTTCAGGACTGGGTATAGCTTGCCTCCTTCAGCCTGCTGGCCGCTGCCGAGCCCTTGCTGCCCCTTGAGGGACTCGAGGAAGTTTCTAACGGCTGCAGCCGCATCTGGAGCGGAAGAAGACGCCCTAGAAGATAGGAAAATAGTTAGCGCTGTCACAGAACTTTTTGGATGCCAGACGCCGCAAAGGATATCCATATCTCAATTGTTGAACAATGTGCAGTCGAACACCGAGTCTACAAATACATTGGATATTCCTGAACCTTTCGTCGGCAGTAGCAGAGCTCTGCAGATTCCTTGTCATGGCCGCTGCTCCAAGCCGCGAACTCCGTAAACAAAAGCAAGTAGAGAGGTCACCTACGCTCTCCCGCCATCCGCTCCACCTTCTCTGGATCCTTCGCCCTCGCGCCGGATGTCTCCACCCGTGGCATCAGCACCTGCACCTCCGCTGCTTCCTTGGTGGTGGTCGCTGGCGTCTCCGTGGCCTTCGACATCTTCCATGGTCTCGTCGTCGTCGTTGTCTCGCCGGCTGTCGTCGTTGTCATTCCGCACCAGGGTCAATTCCCGCGTGACATCGAGCTCGTCGCCTTGCAGTAGCCTGTTCACAATTTCGCCAATCTTGAGGTCGCGGGGGCTGAACCAGCTTGGGTCGCCACTCCGGGCTTGGGGTTTGGACTGCAGCCAGAACAGGTGCCGTTGCGAGGACGAGGCGAATTTGAGAACGAAGATGCGGCCGTCGGTCTTGGAAGTTGGGTTGCTAGGCGACTGGGTATCGTAGGGGACGAATTGCCCATCGGTGGGGATCATGACAAGGTCGAGTTCGGGCTGATCGAGAGGGACGCTTCGCTCTCGCCAACAGAAGTGGATCAGATCTGGACGGGGTAAGCTTTAGTTAAGCCTTGCACATGGCTTCCGGAGGACGACATACCGTCTTCGCTATAGAGGTAGACATATCCCTGTCTGGGAATAGGTTTCACCTTATAGGGCCTTGACGATTGCTTCGTTGCGGTTAGCCGTTGGGCAAAGCGGGATCAACAATTTATCAAGGCAAACTCACATCAACCTCGCAGAGGCCAGCTTTAAAGGTAATGATGGGTATTGCGGACATGTTGCCGATCTGGTATTTGAGGGTAGGTAGATGGAAGGGAATAAAATACGGGCAGTCAAGGGGGAGAACCGAGCGTTTGCAGATTCGTGGTGGTGGTTTGTTGAAGAGCTGGGGGTGGTGTAGTAGTGGATGGTGAGGCTCCTACTGAAGCTCTCAGTGGTGGCACATCCACCAAGCTAGGTTGCAGCTTTGACGTGTTTGGGGCGGGAAGAAGTGAGAGGCTAAGAGCCTCTAAAGGGTGTGGCTTGTTGACCCACGGGCCACAATGGCACCTGCCAGGGCTGTCAAGCCACATTTCATCCGAGATTGCACCCCGGGTTGGCAGGTGAAAGTGACAAAGTACAGATTAGCAAATGCCAATTCGAACGGTTTGCTGGCTAAAAGGACCCCCGTTATCACTTTCACCATTTTTCTCCGTCCATCATCGGCATCCCGACTTGACGACCCGGAGACCGGGCCTTAACCAACTGTGTGGTGTCTGGCATTGCAACGTCGGCACCTTTGCCATCCATCTGTCCTCCTCCTCACTCCTGTCGCCATCGTCCAGGCATTGGGCGCGCTCTTAATGACGGAGAACAGCTTGCCCTTTGAGACATCCCGACGAACCCATGGCGCGACCATTGGGGCCAGTCCGTCTTAAGAGGACAAATCCTCTCACCCTCCTTATTGGTGCTGTTCTTTGCATCTTCATTCTATACTTTTTAATTGCTCCTGCAACTTCTGATTTCTCTTCTGCTCGAAAATCCACCGCGGCATCTCATCCCCTCTCCCCTCCCACCTCCCCTTTCCGTAAGACATCCTCCAAGGGAACACAAAAGCCTCCACCGGTGACCCGATACAATCTCAACAATGTCACCATCACCAAGAACCCGATCGAGAACCGCGAGAACATCCTTGTTCTCACCCCAATGGCTCGCTTCTACCAGGAGTACTGGGACAATCTCTTGAGACTGTCATACCCCCACGAGCTTATAACCCTCGGCTTCATTCTGCCCAAGAATAAGGAGGGGAATGCGGCGACCACGGCGCTACAAGAACAGATCGCAAAGACCCAGCAGCACAGCGCCGAGAGGAACAGGTTCAAGAGCATCATTATTTTGCGGCAAGACTTCGACCCCCCGCTGGCCTCTCAAGATGAGGGCGAGAGACACAAGTTGCAGAACCAGAAGGAACGACGAGCTGCCATGTCCAAAGCGCGCAACTCCCTGCTGTTCTCAACCCTCGGCCCATCGACCTCATGGGTGCTCTGGCTGGATGCCGACATTATCGAAACACCGCCCACACTGATCCAAGACCTGGCTTCCCACGATAAGCCCATCATCGTCCCGAACTGCTTCCAGCGATACTACGACGAGGAAAAGAAGATGGAAAACGAGCGGCCCTATGATTTCAACAGCTGGCAAGACAGCCCAGTTGCGCAGGAATTGGCGGCCAAGATGGGGCCCGACGATATTCTGCTCGAGGGATACGCAGACATTGCCACGTATCGGGTCTTGATGGCCTACATGACCACCGATGACGGGGAGGTGCACTCCGAAGTTGATTTGGATGGCGTTGGAGGCACAGCGTTGCTAGTCAAGGCAGACGTTCACCGGGATGGGGCCATGTTCCCCCCTTTCGCCTTCTACCACCTCATCGAGACCGAGGGGTTCGCCAAGATGGCCAAGAGACTAGGCTGGCAATCAACGGGGCTTCCAAATTACAAGGTGAGACTTGCTGCCGGACCATACGCTCGTACTCATTTCGCTAACACACGACAAAAGGTGTACCACTACAATGAGTGAGACGCTGCCAGTACGGATTGCCCGAATACGGCGCGCTTGCGTTTGCCACGATATTTTACGTTTCCAGCGACGATAGATCACGGCCTGAATCGATTCGAGACGTCGACTGGGGAAACATCACGACCTCGAAGCCGTGGTAGCATATTGTCCGGGTCAGGGGCTGGAGGACAAAGTTCCATAGACCGGGATCTCCAAGACCCCTTGGTGTCCCCTCCTCTTTTTCTCTCTCTCTCTCTTTTTCATCTGGGAATGGTCCCGGCGTTTCTGCAGTAATCAAACCCACCAGACACACGATCAGGACGACGGAGTCGGGAATGCATGGAGGCTCAAGGGATGAGCCGGTGGGGTTCCAACTTTGTCTTAACTGTGTACAATGCTTTGCAATCGCCCCATCTGGATGGCTTTTTTAGTTTAGAACATGTAGAGGGGAGCCTCATGGGTTCTTTGCCCTCATGATGAGCTGGAGGAGGAATTGAGAGATTATAGAAATTTCCAATGTTTAAGCCAGCTACTCCCCCTTGGCCCTTGCCTGATTGCAACTTTGCCAGATCCTATCTATGCCTGGGGGGAATCCTTAGTCAATCATTCAACCCCCACCGAACCGACGAACCCCCCAATGATGCTGTATATAATGCTAAGGGAAGAGTGGCAGATGCATTCGCGCAGCAAACAGCCTACTCTCCCCTGGCTCCCGCAGCCAAATTCACAAATGCTCTCTGATGATATCATCCCATAAAACTCCAAGCTCGAAGGCAACCCAAAACGATGATCCGTCTCCCCTCCCCCTCTCACTCCCCCTCATACCTCCCGCCCCCATCCGCAATCCAGAACGCGACGAGCCCCCTGGCGGCGACGCGGTCCCCGGCCCTCAGCAGGGCCGCGACGTCGACGTTGAGCGGGCTGTCGGCCTCGGGGCAGGCGAGCAGGGCGCGCACGGCGCGCACGCACTCGAGCACCGTGTAGGCGGGCGTCCAGGCCGAGGCCAGGAGGTCCAGGCAGATCTCGCCCGTCCGCAGCGCCACGTTGGCGTGCACCACGGGCGTCGCGAAGCGGATCGACGGGGGCGCGAGCGGGTAGCTGGGCGGGATGATGATCTCGAGGAGCCAGCGCCCGTCTGGGGTTGGGGGGGGGGGGGGGCACATTTGTTAGCTTCGTTGTGTTCTGGTTTAGAAAGCAAGACGTTGCAGCAACGGGGGATGTTGGGCGTGGACGCTGTCTTTTTCGCCTACTCACCATCGTAGCCGCTGCCGATCCCCCGGCCGTTGATGACGGCCTGCCAGGTCAGCAGCTCGTCGTCGCGGACGGGGCCGAGGCGCTCGATGCCCGTCTCCTCCTTGGACTCGGTGTTCCATTGTCCGAGCTCCTTCAGCAGCCGGTGGGTCGCATTGCGTGAAGACGATTGTTTGGACATGAGATGGACGATGGGATGGGCGAAGTGGGTGTGGGATGGTAAGTTCGAGTGCTCGGCGAATGTCGAGATACCAGTCTTCTATGAATAATGGCAGAACTAGAGCATGGTGGTTGTTGGAGCTTCGGTTATATTGGTTGGAGCTTGCGGTTCAATGTCGAAGCTTGGTTGGAGCTCCACGACTGGGGTACGCTCGGCGCATTAATATGTAAATGCCGAGGCTCATGTCCCATCCCCGAACACCTGGCTCCAGCCTTACTATAACTGAGGTCACATCTCTTAAATGCTTCAATGAACGGTCCCTTACGAATCATATGATTTCTGGGTCTGCCAGCCAGCACTTTGTTGGCAATATTCCGACAGGCCAAGTATTGGATCAACAAGATAGGCAATGGGCGTGTGGCCAAGTCTCCAGATACACTATGTTCATTACTATATTCTACGTGAACTGAATTGTTCTTTAAGTCGTCTAATCTGCTGTTTGTAAAGCCAACCAAGCTGAGAGTGCCCCATTGGCGTGACTGCCGTGGGTGAACCCTTTTCCCTTCTGCCCTCGTACAACTCAATTTGCTTCTGTTTGCAGCGATATGTCCAGGAGAACCAAAGACCCATTCTTATATTCCACATCCGTTCGCCAGAACTCGCCCAGTTCGGCAAAGGAATACCCGCTTGTGCTCATGCAAGTGGTCTTCATGCTATCGTTAAAACGCCAAAGTCAAAGTCAGTGTGGAAACCCGACTCGATCTGCCCATCATACAGGCCTCATCCCCAACGAGGATGAAGCTGAGATCATCCGCCCAAACTTGCCACCGCAACTCATTCTGTCTCTTTCAACTTCTGGCCGTGAGGCCAAGATCCCCCACTACCCCCCTCGCTAAAAAAAATTACGTGCGTTTGTTACTGTTGTGCCCTCCCAGATCCTACATCAGAGCCCCTCGGTCTGGCAGAGGATCAAGGTCGGGTGCAAGACAACCTTGGCAACCAAAAGAAGAAAATCGCTCTCTATGCCGGAGTGTTCTCCTTAGGCTTCCAAAACTGCATCATTCGGCTGAGACGCTTCGTCTTGCTGACCTTCGGCTTCTTCTCCGGCTCGCCATCAAGAGGGACCTCCATAGACAGCTTGCTTCGTTCACCATGCGACGTGCTGATAAGGCGGTTCAGGCTGGCCAGACTCGATCGTCTTCTACCAAAGGCGGTTGCAGTAAAGGATGCGGGTCTTGGCTGATTGTGCCGCGCTAGTGGTCTTGCTTGGGGGTTGTGCAGAGATGCGCTCTCTCGAGTCATAGTCGAGTTGCTGCTGGTCAACGACGGAATGTCGTCAACCGAAATTCGGACCTCTGGGCCAGGCTCCCCCATGAGAAGGGATTGGAAGGTGTCTTCGGCGACAGACGAAGGAGCGGTAGAGATTCTGTGAGCATCGTAGGAAGCGGGCGACCGAGGAGACGGGAATGACGACGCCTGTGACATCGAATAAGGACTGATCGGTGCCAGGGACGAAGTCGGCAAATGCAGAGGACTGACATCGACCGGCGCCAGGTCCTTGGCCCTGAAAATATGGCGTGGAGAAGGTGCTGGTGAATCATAGGCATCACCAACTGAAGCAAATCTTGGCTCGAATTCGGGCATTGGAGGAACATCGTTCTCCTCAACAATAACCTCCTCATAGAGAGAGCTTCCGCCGTGCTCTGACTTCATCCTAGAGCTTGCCTGAGACTTCTCGTCGTCGCTGAGGTCGCTGCCTTTCCGTCTGGGGCCGGACTGGAGCTGGGCGTTGATGCGGAAGTCGGGTATCATCTCATCGGTGTTAGACGCTGCGAAGGTGTATCCGCTGGGAATGCCGTCGAGGCTATGATGCTTCTCATTGGGGGTTTCGGGAATCGGGGTTGACTGCCCAGTGGTCTTGTTGATGTCCGAGTCGCCATCCTCCTCATCTTCCTCAAAGACATCCGCCATCGTGGAGCTGCTGCCGAAGCGGTGGATAAACCGACCGGCCTCGAAGGGTACCATCTCCGGAGCACTCTCCGCACGTCGGTGGAAGTAGTGCATGCCGGGTCCGGTAAATCGACTCATGCCTGCAGCGCTATGAAGTTGCCTCTTTGAAAGTCCCCCTGCTTTCTGTGCCGCTTCCCATTCGGTATTCCTCGGCAAAGGAGTATTGAACGGTCCCAGGGCGGCATCCAGATCAATCATGGGATACGGGGCGTCCTCTTCGAAAGCAGGTGCCGTATAAGACGGCCTGCACGAATCCCCGCTTTCGAGGGCGGAAGCGTCGGTGATCATGACAGTTGGCATGACTTGCCCTGCGAGTATCTCAAAACTCCTCCGAACAATGTCATCATCCTCAATTTCGACATGCTGAGGAGGCGGGGTTGGCGTTCGACGCTTGGGCTTCACGTGGCGGGGTTTGGACTTGCGTGACAGAATAGACCCGGCCCAGGTTTTCACCTTCTTCTGTTTTTTGCTCCTCTTTCTACCTATCGGTTTCTTGTCGGATTGCCCCGCCTGAAGCTCTGTCGCGGAGAACTCTGGTAGATTATCATCAGATGCATGGTAGAGTGATGATACGATGGGTTTCGGTTGCAACTCGAGCGAACTCGCGCTGACGGGTCGGGATCGCGTTGGCGAGTGTGACCCAACGAAAGGATCCAGACCAAAGAATGACCACCGTTTAGGCGCTTTGCTGGGACTGGGCGTCGACGTAGCGATTTCCGAAAGGGCTAGCGGATCCAGGTGAGGGATGGAGTTCCGCCTTCGCGGAGAGGGCGAGCTCTGGTCTGTATCTTGCGTGCTTTGTGTTCGCTCAAGAACAGCCCCTGCAGTGCTTGGTCGCGAGTCGCTCCTCTTGAGTGCTGCATCGGACCTGACGTGCGAGCCAGCCTCTCTATCGGCGATAGTTGAGGTTGTGAGCGAGATCACAGATGAGATGCTTCCCGAAACCGAGTGCCCCGGACGCGCCGTTGCGGTGCTCGACGTATCACTTGACACGAGGGAAAGCGGCCTTGGGATGAACTCGAGGGTGTCGGAAAATCCGACTCGGTTTCGCACCGGAGGTTTTGGAGTGACTTGAGTTTCCTCGGAGGGAAACACTTGCGTAGATGCCTTCCTGATGTCGCTTTCAGACTTGGGCGAGGCGATCGAATGCGTCTGCTCCAGTTGACCGGTGGTACGAGGAAAAGAGTAGGCATCGTTTCGGCCGTAGAGGGCAGGGCTCGTTGGGGCGCTGCTGCCCTTTATTGCGCCAGGCGTAGTAGGAGATGGCAGAATTATAGATGAGAGATCGTGACTCGAGATAGCCGCGGATCGTCTATGGGCGTGACCTCGACGAGGCCTGCTCGGGGCGAGATTTGGAGAGGCAAGACCGCTCTCGGACTTTGTCGGACTCGTACTAATCATCGCGATGGAATCCCCTGCGCGGATGCTACCACCAACAAACTCACTTCCTCCTCGCCGATGCCCGACTCCAACGGGCTTGGAGGGGATCGCCCGCGGGGATTGGGGAGACTGTGGAGGGCTCAAGAAACTGTTCTCGGTAGCACCGCCTGACGGAGGTGCCATGGGGAAAGAGAAATCCGGCAATGAAACCGGCTTGGGTGCACCGCTGCCAATTTCGCAAGGTGGCCCGGTAGCGTCTCTTTGAAAGTCCAAGATAGGTCCAGGACGTTTTCGTGCCGCACGAGAGTACGAGGATGGAGGCGACTGTCGAGGCGGGAAGACAAAAGGAGGGTTGGGCGGTGGGACGTTCGATCTTGGTGAGAGTTCTGGACTCGAGAGAGGCGACAGAGTAGGAGGCATGTTCTGCAGGGCGGCTGAGCCTTCCGAGTCGCGATTCTCTGTTGCCAATCTATCCATTATCATGATGTCTGGACCAACGGTGGTCGCCATCTTTCCCGAGCCGCTCTGCGGCAACAGAAAAGTTGGACAAATTAGTGGAGAGGTAACATAGACCCCGTGGGATGCTGGAGTTGGCGATTCGCCGGTTGACCGAGTAGGGGGAAGTCCCTAGTGTGTCGGTCGACAGAACAAGGTTACGATTGGGACAAAAATGCAATCTGGGAGCACCACCGAGGGTCAGTACAGTCCCACCGTTGCGAGAGCTTGTTGAACTCGAGGAGATGGATGACCTAGCGTACCTCGATTGGCAAAATTCAGCACAAGAAGTGACGAGAGGCGATTGCGCAGAAATAATCAAGACAAGATCCAGGCAATGCCTCGCCGCGAATATAAATTTTGATGCTGTTAAAGGAGTGGACGGACAAGACCAGGCAAATCTCAAGACTTGCAACTGGAATTGAGCCAGTGGTTGTTGAAGTTGTCGACGGGGACAGCCCAACAAGTGGACAGGAGAGAAGTGAGAGAATGAGAAGAAGAGGCGGTGGTGCAAAGCGGGTACGTTCAATGTAAGTATTGGGGGCTGTGGGAGGGGGGGTGTGGATGGTGTGTTGGGCAGGGGGGGGGGGGGGGGGCTCGTATTGCACTGTGTGAGATCTGATGATGCCTAGGTGGACCTTTCTAAGGCTGCGGGCCTCAATGTCGAGGATTTATGGCGTACCACGTCAGCCACGGAGAATCTACACGATGCTTGAGATGGCCTGGGACTCGGAAACAACACAGAGCAAATTCCCAAACAGCGAGTAGTGAGAAGATGGCTTTTGGCTCCATGAACTCCATCAGTCACTCACGACGATGGCTTACAAGGTGTCGGCGCCACAGTAGGAGATCGAGCTGCATCGCACAGTCCGTCATTGCGACCCTGTCTGTACTTAAGGAGCAGGACACAAATCACAAGGTATCATCAGATACATTAACCCAGGCTCGACGTTGCATGGTGCATGCTGGGGTTCAGGGGTGGTTCCTCATCGCGACATTTAAGATCATATCGCCGGTCACATACAATAAATAGGATACAACCCTTTCTTCATCAACCTGCGCTGAAGCCATCCATCCTGTGATTTTACAAACTTGCATTATATACACGAGTGGTGTACATACAATGACCGTATGAAGCCCTCGGAAGGCGAGATGATGGTCCCATAATTTTTGTTTTACCCCCAGAAATCAGATAATCAAACGCCAAACAAATCTTCCCTTTGCATGTCAATCAGGAACCTGGGGCTATTGAGATTCGGCCAATGATTGGGTCGGAACCGACCTGAGAACCGCGTCCGGGATACCCAGGGCCCGCAGCTGATGATGCTTTGGGAGTCCTGAAAATCCCTGGAACACCCCCGGCCAGGAACGGAAGGATAGACCCCTGGCGAACGGTTTCTGCATAATTGAAAGATTGTGCTTCATGGTCCACGTATTCAAATTATTCTGTCTGATACAGACTACAACGCAGAGCGTAATCTGTGTAGTAGGAGAACGGGCAGCCGCTGTCGACAATGGGAAGATGATCGATCTAATGTCATAGAAGGGTATCTGGGTATGGAAGGTAGGTGCAGAAGACACCTAGTTTCGTTCATCTCTTGCCAATTCGCATGGGCCGCTACCGAGTGCTTCCATCGTTCCACCATCTCAGCGTTCGTTGCTCCAAGACTGCCACTGGCTTGCCTGGTGGCTACAGTAGCCGGGTTTCCGACTTTTTATTCTTGGTTCGTTTCCAAGTTCCAAGCCCGGCCCTCCAACAATCCCGAGTCGATAGAAAGGAAACCAAACAAACGCGGCACGGGCGGAAAATGCGAAGACTGAGGGAGGGCCAGGCCCACCTCCCAAGACTGGCTATGGTTGTCACCCACATCCCACATCCCACATCGCCAATGATAACAACAACTTCCTCGGCATGTAGTACATACCTCCCTAGCGAGCCTAGGTGGAGGCGACCTGTTCAACTGTTGACCCTGAAGCGTGCATCAAGGTGGGCAGCCACACACCATGCATTCAGAATTTCAGATAGGCGCCAGCCACCCAATTCAGCCGGCGGAGAAGCAGCCAAGAGTTAACAGAATTACCTACTCCACTGCGAGGGGCCCCTACAGGTTACAGGTTACCTGCTGCGTACATGCTGCTAACGCGATCGCTGCTGCAAGGCAACTACTAAGTAGGTACGGCGTACCGTCGTGGCGTTGTGAGACCTGGGGCATCATCACTATTGGCCCTGTGGGCCCAGGGGTTTTTCTTCTTTTTTGGTGTGTTGCTCTGTAAAAGCTCCGGACACTCCAAAAGCGGTTCCTTCCGGCACGACATGTAACCAGACTCGAGTCTCGGTAAGGTATTGGCCTCGCCACGAAGTGGCGGTTTGCCGGGTACGAATAATCTACACTACGTTTCACATTTTTTTCTGCCTGTGAAGATCTTCAGTCAGACTACTAAGACAACCCGAAAGTGGCCATGGATGACCGAGATTGTGAGCTCGCTGGTTTCTAATTATACCTAGACCCGTCCATCTCAGCAATTTCCCCCCCTTCGTTTGATTGCAGTATGAACCATTGTCTACTAAGTAAGGACAACAGGAAGCACACCTCGGTACTTTACGCGCTTGTCGCGACCAGCTGAGGATTTTGTTATGTAATTTGAGAATATTGATTTAATTCTCGCGACCTCATTTCGGCCTCAGCGATAGAACCACACTAAGCAAAACAGAGCCCCAGGGGTGAAGCCTGCAGAAGCAAGCTGGATTGACGCCTACAAGCCACTTTTGAAAGAAACTTATGGTTCTCCAGCCAGCGGCCGCCTCTCTCATTGGCCTGCCATACTTTCGGGCCCCGAAATTGCCATTCCCTCCCGCCTTTAATTAGGTAGGTGTCTAGTGCCACTTTTCCACACCGCACAATTGCCAGCCAGGCAGGTTTCGAGCGGCAGAATATTTGCATGCCACCTTCAACCCCACTGACCGCTTTCTCATTCTGCGGATTTTTCCCCCAAGAACTTGAAGGTAGATATCATCATGTCGGCTACCACAGCAGCAGCCACCGCGTCTACGGCTAAGCCCCTGGGGATGAGGGTGAATGGTATTATATACTCTGCACAACCTGAGGACCAGTCAAAATGCTCACAGTTATTGCAGGCAAGCAGTGGCATGAACCGAAGAAGGCTTTTCGGCCAGCATCTGGCCTAACCTCTTATGAGAAACGTGCAAAGGAAAGGATAGCTCAGGCTGCCACGAAGGCCAAGGAAAAGCAAATGAAAGAGGAGAAGGAGACCGAGAGACAGGTGAGAGGGGATTCCTCGTCTTTGATGGATCGCATCCGTCCCTAACCTCAAACCACCATTCCAGGCACGCATCAAATCAATCAAAGAGAAGCGCATTGCCAAGGAGGAGAAGGAGAGATACGAGAAGCTGGCCGAGAAGATGCACAAGAAGAGGGTTGAGAGGCTCAAGAGAAAGGAGAAGAGGAATAAGCTGCTCAACTCGTGAGGCGCAAACGTGGACAAGTTCGACTCCACTGGTGTTCATTGCAGCCGGGCAAGGGATTATGATGGGGTGTCCCTATTACTGCCATTGGAGGAGCATGGCTGTTGCGGCGCTGTCCTCTCTTCAGCAACCTGCATTTCTGGTCCCTCGAGGGCTGCAACAGACCAGCTGAAACGGGGATACAGCCACCTTACCTTCCAGGTTGTCAGTCGCAGGGTTGGCTACAGTGTGCGAAAACGGACAGATGGCAGCTTCTGGCTGGAAATCCACCTTGGGAATGCCGTCTCTTCAAACCTAGATGCAGTTTTTAAGGCGGGCATGACATGCAAGCATGACCATTGCGGCTCATGACGACCTATTATGATGGAATACCTAGGTACCTTAGCTACTTACATCAGTTAGCAACACGTCTGGGAGTAGCATGTGCCGAGAAATACATCATCACTGAAATTTTACCGGGTAATTGCTCGCCTCTCTGTAACATGTTGGGTGAACATTGGATGCTTTATAATTCGTTTCTTGGTTCCTCTCTAGACCGAGTGGTAGATACCTAGACGACATGTGAAAGTTGCACCACACGGCTTATCCGCCCACACACTGCCCCACCAAGGTCTTTCCCTGCACTTCCCTGCACTTTCCCTGGCAGCCTTTGCTTGGAGCAATCTAGACCGCGAAAGTACCGACAAGTAGATCACTCCCCGTCATTTAGATCAGACGGGCACCACGAACTGCGCAGTACGTTGTACACTGGATATAGTCTACTCAGTGTAGTAGTACAGCCCAGATTGCACACCCACCATGTCCAGCAACGGGGCCGATTCCCCTCGGCCATTGCCACCTCATCGGCCAAGGCACCAGATAACCCGCTCCATTAGCGAACTATCCTCACCAATCCGGCTGCATCGACACGAGCACTCCAGTCTTCTACGCAGGGAGCGCGAACGCGAATGCGACGATCGAATCCTCACCCCGCACTCTACGTCGTCAACGTTACTTGCCATGGAATCGCGAGCCGGCTCCAAGTCCGAAGGCGTGACGCCCAACCTTAGTCCGAATCCGAGCAGGAGGCCTAGTATCCTAGCTGCCTCGGGCGATGACTCTGGCCCCGTGGCTGGGCCTGGGTACACCGTTGCGCGGACACTGCCTAGGGAGGAACAACTTCGACAGCAGCGGCAGAAAGCAGCTGCGAGAGTAACGTTCGAGGCCCCTACCCTGAATGATTGGACGCAAGTTCGGAAACTAAAAATGGTGCTCTACAGCGGTCTGAAAAGCTCCCTTGCCGACCTCAGTACCTTCTCCAACACCACCACTCGAAGACTCGATGATACGTATTACTCCGTTCTCGAGAAGCTAGGCATGTTGCAGAGCATGGTCATCGCCCTCAAGGAGCTCGCCAGCACGTCGCAGGAGACCAACGCCAACTTCAAGAAGGAGACGGAGGAGCTCGTCAGCGAGGTCTGCTCACAACTCGACTCGTTTGGCCAGTTCGAGGACCAGGAGGAGCGCATCGAGTCGCTGAAGAGCCGCGTACACGCCGGGAGGGAGAAGATCGAGGCCCTCAGTAACCGGGTCGACTCGGTGCGGGAGAGGATCGAGGGCTGGGAGCGGGCCGATGGGGAGTGGCAGGAGAGGACGAGGCGGCGGCTCAAGGCGATCTGGGTCGTCACCTCGGCCATCGCCTTCATCCTGGTCCTCATCCTCATCAGCGCGCAGTACGTGCCGACGAGTATCGAGGAAGCGACGGTCCGGGTCGCGAACGAGAGCCTGAATTACATCCGGCATGCGAGTCCGGGCAACGGCACTCAGCACGGCACACCCGGAGGGGATGGCCGAGATTTGCTGGGTTCGCCGTCGAAAGGAGCAACGGAGGACCACTTGCTGCCTCCTGATGACAGGCTGAGGATCTTTGACGAGTTATGAAGCGCTGCTGGCGACGCACAGTACTCGCACAATAAGGCGTTGGAGTCTGATTACACCTGTGTTCCGTGCAAGGCACTATACTTTTTGATACCCGAACAACATGGCAGGCATTTCCTACCCTTGGAGGGCCCGCAGGGCTGTCTCGCGCCTCGGTTGATTGTTCTGCACCAACCTGCCTACCTAACCTATCTAATCCATCCATTGACCTTCTGTAGGGCCTGATTGAAAGTTGGCAATGCAGAGTTACCATCCACAGTCAGCACTAATGTGAGTCTTCAAGGAGATTCTCACGTGATTGGTCTGGACGTTTTCCTAGCGTTGTCCAAGAAACAGCTTCATCGGCCCGGAAAACGGGGGGTTGCCCGTTCTATTCCGCGCTTGATTCTAACGCCGAGACGCCTGTGGCTGGAAAACGAGGCCGTGGACCCTGGATGCTAAATCACAAAGCTTGGCCTTGGGCTGTGTGTGGACAAAGAAATGAGGCGCGGTCCATCTCATTCGACACTAGAGATACGCAACCGCCGGAATTGTGGAGGTGGGCGGCATCGTACGTCATCCACCCGCGCCACAAAACAAGATCCGTCATTTGGCTGTCGCGGCAAGATGGGGCTCGTGATCCATTAAGAGCTTGGCCAAATTTGCTGTGTGTACTCGTAGGCGAAGCGAGCTTAGCTGGAGGTACCTACTCATAGCACACAGTGGATTAGGTGCCTGAGAAGATAGGTGCTTGGCGGGCGGCAGTACGTCACCTGGCACCGAGCCACAAGAGGCATTCCTCGCGGATAATCAGGTCGCGCGGCCACCTGTCTCAGCTATCTCTAGACTTGTTTCTTTTTTTCTCTCTCGTTTTGTGTCTTAAATCTGCCCTTTCCGTGTCGCATTCAGCCTTACAAAGCCGTGTCCGTCGGAGGTTTTGTAGCTTTGTGAGTTTTCGGGACCGCTGTTCTGTTGCTGACCGTCCCGCAACAACTCTCTCCGCCTGTACTGTACCTACCCCGCCAAACCGCCGAGATTGGGCAATCTTGGCCCCTGTGAACTTTTATTCTTCTTCGTCTATCTGGGTTATTCCACCCCATTTTCACCTAGAGCCGAGCTGAGAACGAAGACATGGCTTCCAATGCTCCCGCAGAAAAGGCCCAAGACGGCGGCAATAGCAATGCATCAGCCGCCCCGCCCGGCAGCCAAACATTGACCGGAAAGCAAGAGCATTGTTCGTTGCCCCCTGATGGGGAGGAAACCCCGCGTCGGGAGGGCGGTTGGGCTAACACGTCGACTCTTCCTCAGATCTCAAGCGCGAGCTTATCGCCGAGCAAGTGAAATGGGAGATATCAGAGCTCAACTCGCCAACGTCGCTGCGGCGATTCGGCGCCCCCTTCAAATCCGAGTTCGGCGAGGTCTCGCCCTTCGACTCCGAACTCCCGATCCTGCGATACATCTTCGTGCACCATGTGCGCGAATTCCCGTTCCTGGACAAGGCAAATGAGAAGGAGTTTTGGCAGGATAAGCTGCAGGTGGTATGTAACGATGGAATATGCCCCCCGGACGGACTGTAAAGGCCGCAAGGATTCTGACCGTGCAATTTTGGCCATTAGTTCCTCGAATCCTTCACCACCAAGAATATATCATCGTCAGAAGACCGACTAGAGGAGACGAAGCGTCGAAAGCTTGCCACCAAAGCGCAAAAGCTCGTCGAGCTCATGATGGTCTCGGGTGTTGGGACCTCGTCTGGGTTTGAGGAGAGAATACGTTTCTCGGAACTCGAGATCGTGGATCGAGATGCCATTGATTCGGGAGTCATAGCGTCGGTGCCTGAGGGGCACTACCTCAATGGCTGGGACGTCAACGTTGCCGGCGTTCGAGTTACTTCTGTGAAGCGGAACGTCAGGTACCACAAACACGCAGTAAGTTTGCTCTCTGCCAATGGATGGTGCCGTGGTTGCTCTGCTTAACATGAGACCGCCCAGGAGTTCATCTTGCGCGTCAAGCGGAAAGGGGAGCTGGAGCACTTCGTCGGTCGTCGGTATGGCGATTTCCCCCGCCTGGCCAAGAGGTTGCGGACGGAGTTGCCAGGAAGAGTCTTACCACCAGTTCCCAAGAAGAACAAGTCGAGTTCGACCACATCCAATATCATCGGGAGCATCACTGGCGCCAACGACTCCGACGCCTCATCAGTATCTTCTATCTCCACCCAGATGACAGCGTTCCAGGCAGGCAATGGCTCATCAGACGGTTCTTCCAAACTGCTATCTCTGAAAGGTTTGTAAGACCGCGGCTTGGAACCTTGTGACTATTGCTGATCTATGTGGACCAGGGCATCGTAGAGACGACTCAATAGCATCCGGCCGGTCGTCCCCCAGAGTATCTACAGATGGTCGATCCTCTAATCCTGCCCTCCTTAGCCCGACAACAAAATCAGAGGTAAGATCGTCTTCGGCACGATGCAAATGGAGCCCCTGCCTAATCACTGTCGCAGACTGTCATGCTGTGGAGAGAAAACCAGAGGATATCTCTCCGTGCATTCCTGAGGACTCTGCTGCACAACCCTCAGGTTGCGAAGACCAAGGCCATGGAGGAGTTCCTTACGAAAGATCCGATAACGCCCACGGACGACGACGTTGAAGAAATCATTCGCAGGAAAAGGGTGGACGAGAAGCGCGTGGAAGAGCAGAAGAAATTCTACGAGATCGCGAGAAAGCGTGCTGCTGAACTTGACGTCTATATGGAGCAGTACGTGGCCCTGGAATCCCAAATCCGAATTTCAGGGGGTTATGCTAACCTTCTCCAATCGGTAGGTTTCGACAGGACATCGTTGAGCGCAACGGGTTGACGATGCTCTTCAAAGAAATCAAAGAGAAGGAAACGATCCAAGATCTTAGCGTCCAGTACCAGAAGTTCGCCGAGTGGTTACGCATAGAGGTTGCGGCCACTATCTACCACCTTTTCCTCGCCGAAGACAACTCGCCCGAGATGTTTGCCCAGGCAAAGAGAATCCATTCCCTAATACCGTACACGATAATGAAGAATGTCATCCGCGTCGCGAACCCCGCCGCGGTCATGGCCAATGTCCTAGACCTCTTTCTAGCACAACCATTCGGCGCGAGGTCATTGATGCAGCGAATATTCTCGCTGACTCTTAACGACGGCATCAAAGTCATCCAGAGGTCTATCGATGCTCTTAGCGTGGAGATAGGAGACCCCGTCTTCGTTGACAAACTGAAGCAGTACGTGGAGGGGGAGGAACATATCAAAGTGGCGATCCAGGAGGAAGCAAAGAGCGACGACGTCGATATCATTGTCGCTATCCTGCGATCGGACCTGATCTACCCGGACCTCGTACCGGAGCAGATCGGCCGGCTGTACAATGCCTACGTTGCTTTCAACAGTGCAGTTGAAAACGTGGACGAGGAACTGAGGCAGGGGGCACAGCTGTTCTCGTACCTGAAGCAGCTGATGAAGCTCAACATGAGGCAACGTGATAAGGCCATGATGCTGCGTCTGGTCGAGGAGCCAGTGACACTTCAGCTATTCCGAGATCTGTTCACCATCTTCTACGAGCCGCTGGTAAGGGTATATAAGTCGGCAAACGTATACAATAGTGTCACAGACTTTGCTGTCTTTATCGACGACTTGATCCAGGTAGATACAGCCCCTCAATGGTGCTCGGGGAACATTGACTAATCCGAGTACTAGGTTGTCGAGAAATGCCGAGACCAAGATGCATCGGCAGATCCCAACCAGACCGTTCAAGCCTTCATCGACCTGTGCCGGCGCCATGAGCATAACTTCTACAAGTTTGTGCACGAAGTCCACACTCACGATAACGGGCTATTCACGAAGTTGATGGGTTGGATAGAGGGCATTCTGGAGTTCCTGCGACACGGACCCAAGAATGGGACCCTGGATATTAACGATCTCTTCGAGAAATCCATCGTCGAGGGCACAATCGACAAGGAGAAGGCTATCGTGGAGATTGACCAGCTCATATCGTGGCAGGAGGCTCGGAAGAAGTGGCACCAAGACAAGACGCGGCAGAAGATGGCCGCCGAGGGAGTCGGGACATCGGAATTGGCTGCCGCCCCGATGAACTTCAATCCCAATGACTTTGGTCTCGACCAAATGGACCTAGAGGACATGGCATACGAGGATGATTCGGAGTCCGAGGGGGACCTGGAAGCCGAGGAAGATATGGACCCGATCGACGCCGAGAGGAAGAGAAGAAGAAAGGTTCAGGATAGACTGCGGCGATACGCGGGAGAGCCGGTGAGACCGGACGTGTCGGAGGTGCACAAGCTGAAGGAGAACTTCTTGGTGATGCTGAAGATGGTTTTGGCCGAGTAGGGAGGCTACGAACTTACGGGTGATAGCTACTGGGTTTCGTGTTATTGCTGGCATAAACTGAGCATCACACGGCATTGCATGATAAAAGGGGTCAGTCAGGGTTAGGGTGCCAAAGAGGTGCAAAAGCATGTGATCGAGTCACAATAAGGATACAGATGACGAAGTTGTCTATAAACCTTGAACTGTAAACTGTCGTGCAACTTTCCTCTCGATCCGGCAGGTGCTAGGAACTACACAAGTAGCCAGATGCCGCAAGAGACATAAAAGACATATCCTGAAGGTATCACAGAATTGAATGAAATCCAGCCCATCACTTTTCGTGTACTAGTAGCCCATCATCGGCCCGCATCTAGGCCGGCATCGCAGCATAGCAACATAGCAGCCGAAAACCAAAGCACGGACCAGCCACACTTCCGGGTCGGCAACTCGGCTAATCACAATTGTGTGATTGGTCGATTCGCCGCCTCGTTCGAGTGCTGAAATCATTCCCAAGCAAACCACCCGATCCTATCCTTGTCGTGAAAGACAACACAGAGAGGCTCTCGACAATCTTCTGCTGCCCATCGACTCGCGCATTTGAGCTGCAGTTGACCATGGCACCCTCAATTGCGTGGAGAAGACTGGCTGCGAGGCAAATGGTGAGTATCCAGCTGCTAATAAGTTTCTGGGCGTATGGGCCATTCTCTCCAAGTGCCGTGATGCTGATCCGAGACTCTTCGCTCATAGCTCGCACGCCTCCCCAAGAGTCAGACAAGGGCATTTTCAGTGACTAGGCCAGCAGGTAGGTCTTTGCTGACATCGAGCCACGTCGAAACCGCGCTGATGAAGCTTCTCTTACAGCAAGGGTCATCGCAAACCAACCCCTGCGAGCGAAGGAGGCATCGCCTTTTGTCAGCAGCAAGTACCCCGTCATCGTACGTTCTCCGCCGCCAGACTGCAACCGCCCCAGGGACCACCAATTGACCGGCATATAGGACCACGAGTACGACGCCGTTGTTGTCGGAGCCGGTGGCTCGGGACTGCGGGCGGCATTCGGTCTTGCCGAGGCTGGATTCAACACGGCATGCATTTCCAAGCTCTTCCCCACCCGAAGCCACACGGTCGCCGCCCAGGGTGGCATCAACGCTGCGCTCGGAAATATGCACGAGGACGACTGGAGGTGGCACATGTATGACACCGTCAAGGGCTCCGACTGGCTTGGTGACCAAGACGCCATCCACTACATGACCCGGGAGGCTCCGGCTTCCATCATCGAGCTCGAACACTACGGCTGCCCCTTCTCCAGAACTGAGGATGGCAAGATGTAAGCTCCCCGCGTCTGGATTTGCGAAATTGGAGAGCTCACAAAGCGTGCACAGCTACCAGCGGGCCTTCGGTGGCCAGTCTCAGAAATTCGGCAAGGGCGGCCAGGCATATCGCTGCTGCGCCGCCGCCGATCGTACCGGACACGCCCTTCTGCACACCCTCTACGGCCAATCGCTTAGGCACAACACCAACTATTTCATTGAGTACTTTGCACTTGATCTGATCATGGAGGACGGCGAATGCCGAGGCGTCCTTGCTTACAACCAGGAAGACGGCACGCTTCACCGATTCTTGGCAAAGAACACTGTCTTGGCTACTGGTGGATACGGACGGACTTACTTCAGCTGCACCTCCGCTCACACTTGCACGGGTGACGGAATGGCCATGGTTGCCCGTGCCGGCCTGCCAAACCAGGATCTCGAGTTCGTCCAGTTCCACCCCACTGGTATTTATGGCGCTGGCTGCTTGATCACCGAGGGTGCCCGTGGTGAGGGTGGCTACCTGCTCAACTCGGAGGGTGAACGGTTCATGGAGAGGTACGCCCCGACGGCGAAGGATCTTGCCAGCCGTGACGTCGTCTCCCGGTCCATGACCATGGAGATCCGCGACGGCCGTGGTGTTGGCGCCGAGAAGGATCACATATTCCTGCAACTCAGCCATCTGCCCGCCGAGGTTCTTGCCGAACGCCTTCCCGGTATCTCCGAGACTGCTGGTATCTTCGCCGGCGTTGATGTTCGCAAGCAGCCCATCCCCGTCCTGCCGACTGTCCACTACAACATGGGTGGTATTCCCACTCGGTATACGGGTGAGGTTATCAAGGTGGACGAACAAGGCAACGACCAGGTCGTCCCCGGTCTCTTTGCGTGCGGTGAGGCGGCCTGCGTCTCCGTCCACGGAGCCAACCGGTTAGGAGCCAACTCGCTTCTCGACTTGGTCGTCTTCGGTCGGGCCGTCTCCCACACCATCCGGGACAAGTTCACGCCAGGGCAGGCTCACAAGCCGATCAGCGCCGACGCCGGTGCCGAGTCCATCGAGGTCCTCGACCAGATCCGCACTTCAGACGGCCCCTTGAGCACGGCCGAGATCCGTCTGAGCATGCAGAAGGTCATGCAGAAGGATGTCAGCGTGTTCCGGACACAGGAGAGTCTGGACGACGGCGTCCGCGGCATCACCGAGGTCGACCAGACCTTCTCTCAGGTCGGCATCAAGGACCGAAGCATGATCTGGAACTCGGATCTCGTTGAGACTCTAGAGCTGAGGAACCTGCTCACTTGCGCGTAAGTGGAACCACAAACCCTGAATAAACCTGACCACCCCCCGGCGAAACCTCGTGGATAGGTAGACTGACAGGGAGCAACAGTACCCAGACGGCCGTCTCCGCCTCCGCGCGGAAGGAGTCGCGCGGTGCACACGCCCGCGAGGACTACCCCGACCGCGACGACACCAACTGGATGAAGCACACCCTGAGTTACCAGAAGACCCCGCACGGCAAGGTCGACCTCTCGTACCGCCGCGTCATCGGCACGACCCTCGACGAGAACGAGTGCAAGGCCATCCCGCCCTTCAAGCGCGTCTACTAAACGAAGGAAGGCTTCGCCGTTGTGAGAAAGCGGTCTTCCCCCGGTTCCTTGGGGAGCCGAGGCGTTTCGCCGAGATGACTTTCCCTCGAACTGCGACGATCATACAATGTTCCCGGGGGGAGAGGGAGAGGTTTGGGGGCGACAGATGCATTGGATGAGGCGTCGTCTTTGAGGATATCCGTTGGGGAGGGAGGAGGGAGTGGGAGAGGTATAATCCAGCCAACAAAATCTTGTATGATGTGTAACTTAGATGGGACCGCTGGGCAAGGTGTATACACATGGTGACAGTCAAAGAGTCGAAACTAAAAAATTGCAGTTAATCCTCCAACCTCGCATTGCCTCGCCTCATCGAACGGAAGACGAAGGTCAAAGGATCATAAGAGGAGGGAAATGGCTAGATACTCTGGTTTTGACTTGGCTAAGCACACAGCGGATGTACGGATTCAAAGTCTATGAACTGCCAGATTAACCCCCCCTAACGGATCGAGATGACATGACCAGCTTAACCCCCCTTTTTTTGGTTTAAAAAAGATCCCCTGGGCGATTAATCCCCCGACCGGACCGCGTGCTAATAGTGTAAAAGACACCCAATATGTATCTCTATTTTATCACCCAACGTTCGTCTACGTCAAGACAACGAGCACCGCTCCTTCTCCCAAGCCGCAAGCAATCGGTGCAAATGGGCGAACCGTCACCGTCCCTGAATTCGGCGGAATGGGGGAGGGAAGCCGTGGGAGCAGGGGCTCGAGAATATGAAATCCATCTTTGCTGGAAGGACCAGGTTAATCACAGTGTCCGAATGAAGATCTGCCCGGACCCCAACCCCCCCGCAGGGCTGACTTGGAGACCTTTGATGTATGTGTGCGCGTGTCTACTCATGCTGGCCGATGCCGAGGTGCTCTGGGTCGGCCCGGACGATGCGCATGGTGTTGGTGTGGCCGACGCCGCCACGCCAGCCCTGGATGACGACGATGTTGTCGCCGACGTTGAGCACGCTGAGCTCGACCGCCTTGGTGACGCCCCACTTGATGCGGCGGTCGACGTCCTCCTGCCAGTTGACCTTGGTGAAGTCGGGCTTCGCCTCGGGGAAGTAGAAGGGGTAGACGCCGCGGTAGAGATGGGCGTAGCGGGAGGCCGAGGCGTTCCGCGTGACCATGAAGATGGGGCAGACGGGTCTGTACTTTGAGAGCAGGCGCTGTTCGGATATCAAATATTAGCGTTTGTAAAGGGGCAAGGCCGGGGCGGGGGGGGGGGGGGGGGGGGTTTGGGGGGGGGGGGTTTAAAAAACCCCCAGTCGCCGGTTGGGTAATGGCCAATATAACCCCCGGAAATAAAGGCGAAATAACAACCCCAGGC